GGATATCAAAAAAGGAAGAGCAAGTGAACACACCAGAAGGGGAAGGTTTCCAAATTCTACTGTCCACACAAGATTGATCCAGGTAAGTTGACCCTAGAAGGTTAATTAATTCATCCACCATTGTCATTTCTGACTCCTTTAGACCTGTCCTCAAACCCAAGTCCCAAGAGTTATTAGTAAAGATTGAAGAGATCACTTTTCTTTTATTTTTAGAAAGTGAATAAATAAAAGGGAACCTTTCATTAAGGGGAGTGTCTCCAACGCAAGCATCTTCCCAAAATAAGACCTTATTTCCTGCACAAGCATCAAATTTGACATAAGGAATGAAGGTAAAATACCATGATACGCTGGTAGGGGCGTATTGGGCGAATTGATACTATTTTTTTTACTTTTTTTTTATTTTTTTTGAAACCGGTTCAGGGGGCCAGTTAAGGGCTCCTCGGTCCCCCTGAACCGGTCAGGCCCCGATACACCCACTATAGGGGTGTATCGGAGAGGTCCCCTGGAACGATACATATTGGCCGATACGGGCTGATACGTGTCGATACTTTGAACCTTGCTTGAAACTGCTCATTAGAGGGTTCAGACCACCACGACTGCACCTCCCCGACCACCACACACATGGTGACAGCAGTCCACACGAAAAAAACCTTTTTTTTTTTCTCTGTTCACTCGACTGTTGTACTTTTTTTTCTTGTCACCAGAGGTCAAGCCTCTAAAACCCTAGAGGTTGCTGCAGGAATATGGGTTGCACTGCAGTCTTCTACCCCAGATTTCTCGCATCAGAAAAAACACGAAAAAGGAAGAAAAAGAAGAACTGAGAAATGTTAGTTGAGGAAGTTGTAATCGACTGCTGTCAATGGCTCTCTGATACCATGTTTGTGCTATTCAGCCAAACTGAGAAAAGAGAAAGAAAGAAGAGGAGAAGAAGAAGAGAAGAGGGAGAAGAAGAAGAATGGTTTCGAACTGAGAAGACTGTTCGTCTAACCCAGTCGACCATACGCTTAAACATTACGAAAAATAAAATTGCAAAGACTGAAATGCCCCTGCATATGAGGAGACATACAGCTAACACCTTACTTAGGGGAAAGGACCAAAATACCCCTCTTTAGTTGACTCTAACACAGAACTGCCCAAAATAATTGTTCCCTTCAGGCCCCTTGCTTAGCTAACCCATCCACTATGGTATTAGCTGTTCTACCCACCCACTGTGAAGTAACAGTCATGTTCCTTGAAAACTAATTAACTTTCCTCAGAACAACTTTGAAATCTCCTTCAATATGCAAATTCTGAACTCCTAACTGGTCTGCAATCTGAATACATTGTACAGCCACTAGAAGCTCAGCTCTAATAGAATCTCCTATACCCACAGGGCCTGAGAATAAGGCTAAAATATTGCTCTTTATCTCTCAGCACCCCTCCTATCCCTGAAGGACTTGGGTTGCCTTGGTTGCTACTATCAAAATTCCACTTTATCCAGCCTTCGGAAGGAGGCACCCACACAGCTGGTATCCTGTTCTTCCTGGTACGATTACTAGCCACAACTATCCAGTTCCTCCAAATGTCATTGAAAGAGAATGTGTGAAAGGAGTCCAAAGATCTCAGCCAGTGGATTGCCCTAGTCAAGATAAAATCCTTTACAGTCTGAATATTTCTCTCCTCTTGGAATAACCTAGCATTTCTTTCTTCCAAAATTGTCCACAAAGCAGCAGATCTGATGCACCTCCACATTGTTTTACCAGTTTTTGTGGGCCAAACAAAGGAGGGGTCAAAGAGCTGATTTACAGCTGCAGTCAAATTCCACCTGCACCCAAACAAGGCAAAGATCCAACCCCAAATAGCAGCAGAAAAAGAACGGGTTAAAAGTAAGTGGGAACAATCCTCACCATTATCCCTGCAAAGTACACACCAGTTAGGAGACAAGCACAAGGAAGGCCTCCTCTTCTGCAAGCAGTCCAAGGTGTTGATCTTCCTATAGAACACCTCCCAGCAGAAAATCATGATTTTAGGAGAATAGGAGGTATAGGTCTAGACCAGATCTCCTTGGCTGGAAAACCCAACTGTACCAGGGAAGAGTAAAGGGACTTAAAGAAAGAGGCAGACTTGAAATGACCTTTTGGATGCGGGGACCATAATCTCACATCAGATCTGAGGGGGTCCAGAAAAACACTTTCAAGTAGTGACAAAAGGTCTGAAACACAAGAGAGTTCATGATCCCTCAAGCCCCTACGAAACCTAGAGTCTCAATTCAGTCAATTCTAGGATATTTTCACTCAACTAGTTTTTTTTTTCTTGTTTTTTTACTTACTTGCAACATGTTATACATTCAGGGCCAAATACTGTTTTTGCTTGAATCGTAAACTACTTTATTATGAATAAAGTTTTAGTTTCAAGTACAATTGCATGTGTCAATTTGGTGTAGTCTGTGTAAGACTTTTGATCTACATTTTAGGACTTTGTTATGAAACTTACATAATCAATATGCACAGACTAAATGTTCTCAACCAGTGGGTGAACCATGGTGGCTTATATTGACAAGGTTGACATATTGCCTAAGGGATGGAGTAGTATTGTGTCTCAACCATGGTTCACGATATCAAATCAGCGATATTTGGCAAAATATCCCCAGTATATCCCCATTTTCTAGGTGGTGATATGAAATCTCCTGAGAATCTCTTTTTTTTCCCCAAATATCCCTAACATTTGGTCAATATGTCAACAATATTTCAGATTTCATTGATAGACTCTATATTTAAATTTTAAAATTTTAGAATATTATTAAAAACTTTTCAATATTTAATTAAAATTACCGAATTTTTTTAAACAATTTTTTCCTAAAAGAACTAGAAGGGAATTAGTGATTAGACAATTGGCTTACTACTTTTATATGATTCACTTACTAAGTCACTATAATTCAAAAGAAAAAGAAAAATGCATAAATTACAAAAGAGTATTCACAATCTAATCCAAAACATACAGTAACAATAAAGACAAAAGTTAAAATGAAAGCAATTGACATATATAAAGAAGAGAAGATGGCTAAAGACCAAAAGGGAGACAAAGATAAACATATCTATTACAATCGCTTAATTGTTTTCCTATTTGATTTATACAATTCTTTGTTATGGTTTTTTGACCCTTAAATGTAATTAAATTTCTTCTAAAGATCTTGAAGATTTATTATCTAATTTAATGTTTTGAGAAAACTTTCCTAATTTTTTAGATTTCCCAAATATTTTAGCGAAATATCTCTGAAATTTTTCCAACTCTACATGGGGAAATGTTCATCAATATTGATATTACGAACCATGGTCCCAACTACTAGTGTTAAACCCAAGGTGTAAGTATGGGTGCTTATGAAACACTAAACTGGACCATTTTGATCAAAAGAAAAAAAAAAAAACACTAAACTGGACCATTTCTGGTGTGCTCCTGGACTTTTTGATTGGTGGAGTAACCAGATTGTTGCATGTAGTCCCTGGACTTGATAATGATACTTTGTCGGGTATTGGACTGCTTTTGATATGCTAACTAGTGAGGTCTTTTTGGGGTTAATATCTGGGCATGTTGGAATAGATAAGGATGCTTCTTGAGCAAGTGGATTTCTAGTGTTTTGAATTTGGTTTTACAAAAATATATACTATGTAAATAATTACTTTATTTTTAAAATTTGTTTGCGAAATATTTTTCCTGGGTTCCATCATGGTAGAGAGTGTGATATTGGTGTTTTAGAGCAAGGGGAATAAATCTTTCTGCATTTCCCAATGTTGGATATTAATGGTAGAGAGATTGTACTGCAAATGTTAAATTAGGCCCATTTACCTTGACATATTTCAATTTGGACCAATGGGCGTAAATACTTAGATTTGTAGAACTTATGCTTAATGTATTAGACATTAATGGGCTAATTAGAGGCCCAATTTCCTAGGACAATTGCTTTCCATTTCTTCCTGAAGTCCATGCATAACTGATGTGTCAATAGGATTCACTCTAGATGAGTTGGGGGTTGGCTTATACTTATATTTGAAGTTGCCATAGTTGGAGTTCTTGAAGGCTATAAATATATTATATTGTTATGTATTCATTTGGTTGTGGAATTTAGTGGAATCTGTTTCATATGCTTTTTAGCTTTGATTGTTGAGATGCCAAAGAAAGAGATATGCTGATACCTTCAAACCCTTGGTGAGAAGGTCCTTTCTGGTGCTGATTTGTGTCTGCTATTCAGCATACACACTAGAAATCTATCATAACCGTCCTAACCTGCAGTTGCACTGCTTCCTCAGCCATACAACTTCATGGACACATTATACCCTAGTTTTTTTTTTTCTCATTTAGGACTATATTGGTAACAACAATTTACATGTTTCATACTGCATGTGGCTTTTTTCTTAAAAGGCCAGAAAATTATAGTCACACAAGCATGCCATAAGGTCAGAAAATTATGGTAAATCATTCACTACAGATATGTTAATGATACACTATTGCTGACGTGTTGAATTGCTCATATTTTTGTCCTTCCTTTTTGAAGATATGAAATCAAATCTAGCTGTATTCCATATTGTAGATAGTTTTAGGAGAACTGCAAATTATTGCTCATCATAACTGAAGCTCTGTTGTTGCATTTCTTCAGAAGGCAGAGTGCAGGATTCTAGTCATGCAATAGGGCGAAATCAATCTAAAACTCAAAGTGAGTTTAACTCCATAGGCTTGAGGAGGCTGGTATTGGCACTAGTTCTAGATTAAATAAATACTTGATGGCTTCTATTTGATCCCAGCAAATGCTAATCAAACTGAAGAATTATGTGCAAGAAACTTTTTATTGAAGACTTTTATGAGGTATTACTGATCAAAAAGGATTTGTGGTTTTTTTCTTTTGTTTGCTAGTTGATAAACCCAAGAAAACCGCAAAGAAGAAGGATAATCTTTCGTCAAATAAAGGAGAGAAGTTAGTGGAAAAGAGTGACAATGCTGAACCAGATGAAGTTTATCATATTACTTCAGTGGATGAAGACTCCTCAAAAGGAATGAAAAGTATGAAATGTCATCCTTTAATCTACCTTATTTCTGCTTTTGTTTGACTGTTTGGTATTTACTTAGAAATCAATGTTTTAAAAAATGACCCGGAATTGAAACTTTTTGGCCACTGGTTTCTGGGTTGACGATTCAACTGTCCAGTTCAAACAGACGACCTGTTCTAACAAAAAAAGTTTAAAAACAATAATTAAAATAAAAAATGGCCTGTCAAACGGGTTGACAGTTCTACCACCGGGTCAACGGGTCATTGACCAATTCAATGACTTTTGGCTAGGGAGAGGGTTTGCGGTAAAATGGAACCGGTTGCCTGGACGGTTTGACCGTCCGGGTCAATGGTGGTTCAAAAACATTGTTTGAAATGCATGTGAATACACATTCCCTCACTTCATATCTACTACCTTGTATCTAGTTTTGGTACTAGATGCTCAGTTTAGACTAAAATTAAAGTATCTGACTAGATAGAGCACCCTTTTATAGGTATCCAGGTATCATATGTATGAATAATCATAACCCCTGATATAAACTACTGAGAAGTGTCTTCAAATTGTCCCTAATTGAACTAAAGCTAGATCTATGCCTTATGACCAAGATATCCATGACTTACATACACATGACTGTATCCGTTGATAAAACACTCAGTTTCCCCTTGAAAACTTTCTTATTTCAACTAAAACTAAAATTAAGGCTCAGGACCCTTACGAATAACAATTTGGACAGAAACAATAACCTATTAATTTTTGATTTCTAAATCTCCATTTTAAAAGTAGGAAAACATATTTCCAATAAGTGAAATTAATATTTCTGCAATTTAGCATAACGAATGTTAGCAGGCATCATGGAGGGTGCATCATCCAATCAGTATAGTGCATACATGGTGGGACTCATGTTGCATTTTGTTCACTAGTGTGCCATTTATGGCTCCCACCATGTCTGTAGTGCATTAAATTTGCTAGAATTTCACTTTATCTTGCATGGTTTGTTGATGAGTTTATTTCTATAACTAGGCTTTAGTCATGGAATCATTAAGAGCAATAATTTGTGGGAAAACCTATGATGCCAGAAGAGCTTTGACCAATCAACCCCCCATTCCCCCAACCATGAATTTTGGTGAAAGCCACCTGATTGTTTACCACTTCTATTATACTGGTTGCTTTTTTATAAGTTTTTCTGGTCTAACCTATAATTTGTAATTTTATTAAAAATTAAATAATTACTTGCATTTGGTCTTTTATCTTTTTATCTCCATTCATTGTTAAAGTTATTTCAAGTTTCACACTGATCTTTTGCTTGTTCCTATTGGAATCTTGTTTGGCTTCCTTTTCCATCATGCCACATGTATCCTTTCCCCCTTGAGTGATCTCTTCCAGTCCTATGCTGTTGTGATATCTGTAGTGAGAATGGGCCGAATGGGCCCTAGTGTTCTTTATTTCTTTTAAGAAGTGTTTAAAAGTTATGTTTCTTAGTTATGGGCCTTCTTTTATTTTCTTTAATTATCTCTTTAATGCTGGCCGCCCCATTAAGGGCATCCAAGTAATCGTACTTAGACTTAGAATTATTAATAAAAGTGATGAAAGGGGGCTAGAGAGAGAGGTTCGAATTCTTCTTTTCTCTCTTCCCTTATTTTCTTTTTCTTTTTTATCAATAACCGATTCATTATATTCAGTGAAACATCATACTATTTACAGCAAGGAAGACAAACACTCTTATCTTCCAAATACAACTTAAACCCTCCAAAGAAAGAAAAGGAAAAAAGAAACAGTTAAGTTACAACTTAGCCCAAAACATTGCTTCCCTTTCTATCCCTTGTTTAGCTAATCCATCAGCTAAAGAATTAGCTGATCTCTTAACCCAACTCATCCTGATTTCCATCCCCCGCACCAGCCACCTAAATTTCCTCTTCTCATTTCTGTAGTTCCATAAGCCGCAGTTGTCTTTAATCAACCACCCTATCACCACCTCCGAGTCCCCTTCAATTAAGAGTTTTCTGACATTCATCTCCTTGGCTTTATGAATTCCTTCCATAACTGCCAAGATCTCAGTTCTAAGGGAATCCCCCACTCCAATTGGGCTTGAGAATAGGGCAGAGATGATCCCGTTCTCATCCCTAAAAACACCTCCAATCCCTGATTGTTCGGGATTTCCCCTACAACTCCCATCAAAATTTAATTTTAAGAAGCCCGTAGGTGGGGGAGTCCAAGACACCCTTATTATTGGTTTGATCTGTGTGCAGTTTGCAATCTCACCCCACTTTCTCAACATGTCTTCCACTGTGTAGTCTGTAAATAGCTCTAGTGATTTCAGCCACTGTACAGCCCTTATATGGATCACAACCCTCAATTCTTCAGCCCCTCTTTCATTTTTTGAGAAGATCCTAGAATTTCTTTCTTCCCATAATGACCAGCATACTGCAGCCCTCAGTCCTCTCCACATAGTCCTTCCCCTTTTCATGTGCCACCTGAAAAAAGAAGGGGAAAAGAGGCTTTGCAAGTCTGATGGAGGGTTCCACCTGCACCCAAAGAGAGAAAAAGCCCTCGCCACCGTCTTTTCTTCTTCCACAACCTATTCTTGAAACTTCTTTTCTTCTTCTTTCTCTTTCTCTCTTTTCTTCTTTTCTTACATTATCTAAATTACTGTAGGTGTAATTTTCAACTTGGTATTAGAGTGGGTTCTCACTTTCGACTTTTTTCTCCTTTCTTTGCCCATACATACGTGTATGGAGAACTGATCAGTTGATCAATCAGCTACTTATGCAGCCTATACAAGAAGGTTTTTAGAGAGCTTTGTAGAGGTTTTTCATCCTTAGTTCAAGCCAGGGCAAGTTCTTGGAGATTTTTCCTAAAAACCCTAGATAATTGGAGAAACCTTGTTACAGGTCACAGAGACAGTTTGAACCAGGCGATAGGGGATCAGAGGTAAGCCTTTTGATTTCTATTAGGGACGGTTTTGGTTGGATTGAATTTTGGAACCTTTGGAAGGGGCAGTTGAAGTTTCTCTCTTTCTCCCCATCCCGTAAGACCCTGTAAAACCCTAATTTTTGGGGGTTGAGAGGTTGTTCTTTGCTTAGAACAGTAAATCTTGCCTAGTAAAGCCCTAATTTGATTTGCGTTTGCATCCGTTTACTCAATGGAGCAAATTGGAGGAGAGACCAAATATTCCATAGATTCCAGGTTTGGACATGGGGGGTCAGTGGAGAATCTTTTTGGGGTTGTGACTATTGTGAAGCTAGATGGGACCGATTATTTATCTTGGTCTCAATCTATTAAGATACATGTGTGTAGTAGAGGAAAATGGGGTTATATTACCGGGAGCAAGAAGAAACCGGAGGAGGATGATCTTACCTATGAAAGGTGGATGCAGGAAAACTACACAGTAGTGAGTTGATTAGTGAATCTATGCAACTACACATTAGTCAGCATTACCTGTGGATGAAAACTGCAAAAGAAGTGTGGGATAGTGTCATAGAGACCTATTCCCAAAGTCTTATTATTGCTTGGTCCTACAAATTGAAGCATGATGTGAATAATCTTATATAGGGGGAGAAGCCCTTAGCAGTCTACTCTATGCTGAAATCTCTTTGGCAAGGGATTGATCTGATGGAGATTGTTGTTTGGGGTTGCACAAAGGATGCAAAAACATATAGGAGGTTGGTTGAGAGAAATTGGGCCTTTGAGTTCCTCATCGGACTCAAGTCGGAGTATGATATTGTGAGGCAGAATGTTTTAGCAAAGGGTGAGGTGACTGTCTTAGGCATATGCTATGGTGAGCAATGAGGAGAGTAGAAGACATGTTCAGTTTGTTGAGCTACAGGTTGATCACTATGCTAATGCGGGGATGAAGCCAAAGGTTAGCATTGGGAAAAAATATGTTATTTCTGAATACTACAAGAAGCTTAAACACACTAAAGACACATGTTGGAAGCTACATCTAGAGCTTGTTCCTACCAGATTCAAGAAAGAAAATGGTGGGAAATGGTTGAAACTGGAAAAGGTGGAAATGCAAATGTAGCCACCTCTTCACAAGGTGAAGAAGGACAGGATGGAGAGAAGTCAGTGGGAGAACAACTTGCAGCTGCTAGGGCTGAAGCTGAGAAGTACAGCTGAATCATTAGTTGTTTGGAGTCCATTGCTATAGCTCATTCAGAGACTGTTCCTTCGTTTGCATATGCTCACTCAGGTATTCGTGCCATTGCACATCATGCTTCTGTCTCAGGTACAAATAAAACCTCTTGGATAATTGATTTTGGTGCTTTTGACCATATGACTAGTGTTTCACAGTTATTCACCTCTTACCAACTTCTTTCTGGACGGGATAGGATATCCCTTGCTAATGGCTCCTTAGCCCCTATCACGGTAAAGGGAGACATTAAGACCTCTAATGCCCTGACCATATCATCTATTCTTCATGTACCTAAACTTAATACCAATTTGCTTTCAGTTAGTAATTTGACTAAATCCTTGAATTGCAGTGTGACCTTTTTCCCTTCATATTGTGTTTTTTTTGGACATGGAATCTCAGAAGGTGATTGGGAGTGGCCATGGGGCGAATGGGATATATCTATTAGATATGCCTGAGCAGAGCCAAGTACAACCTTAGAGAACTGCATCTATTTTAGAGTCCACTAGTCGTATTATGTTATGTCATAGTCATTTGGGTCATTTGTCCTTTTCTTCATTGAGTCAGTTGTTTCTAGAGTTATTTAAAGGATTTAGTTTATCGAGTCTTCATTGTGAGTTCAAAGCATTGTAAGAGCACTTGTCCTTCAAGTAATAAAAGATCAACTATTCCTATTAATATTGTTCACGCTGATGTGTGGGAACCTTACCATTTATCATGTATGGGTGGGTATAAATATTTCATCCTCTTTATTGATGATTTTTCATGATATACTTGGATTTACCTTATGCATTCTCGGGCTGAAGTGCCTAAACTTGTGCAACAATTCCATGAACACATACTCAGTTTAATACCCGCATCAAAATAATCCGGTCAGACAATGATAAGGAATATTTTGAAAAGGGCCTTACATCCTATATTGAGAAGTTTGGGGTTATTCATCAAAGTTCATGTGTCCGCATTCTACAACAAAATGGAATAGTGGAGAGGAAAAACAAACACATTGTGGAAGTTGTAAGGATCATTCTTTTTGCTACTCAACTGTGAAGTTTTGGGTGATGCAGTTTTAATAGCTACATACCTTATTAACCGCATGTCTTTTTGAGTCTTGGGGTTAAAATCTCTCTTTGGAGTCCTCTTTTTTGATGTTGAGATTTTCTCTATTCCTCCGAGGGTCTTTGGTTGCACTTGTTATGTCCAAATTCCTAGTTCCAAAAGACACAAGTTTGACCCCAAGGCTCAGAAGTTTATCTTCCTTGGTTATGCCTCCACATAGAAAGGATACTGTTGTTTTCATCCCATTAGTAGCACCCTGCTTGTTTCCATGGATGTCACATTTGCAGAGTTAGTTCCTTTTTATATCCATCCTTCTAAGGGGGAGAGATCTCTTGAGTTGTTTTCTTCACCCCTTCCTTTGCCAACTCCAGTTAAGTCTTCTGTCGAGCCCTCCATAGTTACCCCTATTCCCATGGAGGGATCTTCTCCTTTGAAGTCTTCCACTCCTGCTCCTCCCCCTTTTCCTGCTAGTCCTCCAGTTATTTCCACTCATCCTATTCTCCAAAGGTGGTACCAGTGGCAAAGGCAAAGGCAGACACAGGTTGACCCCACACCTCCTCCAGTTGAGACTTGGGCTCTCCCGATTACTGAAGAGAGGATATGTCCATCACCTCCTCCACCAACACCCTCGTTTCCAAACCTTGACCTACCCATTGATTTGAGAAAAGGTAAGAGGAAATGTGTAGCTCATTGTATTTCCAAACACCTTTCCTACAACTTATTGTCCCCATCCTACTATGTCTTTCTAGCCTTAGCCACACCAGATTGGAGGGATGCTATGAGTAATGAAATAGAAACCCTTCATAAAAACAATACCTGGGATATTGTTGACTTGCCATCTGGGAAGGAACCTTGTTGGGTGCAAGTGGGTTTTCATTATCAAGTATTGTGCAGATGGGTCAATTGAGAGGCATAAGGCTTGGCTTGTAGCTAAGGGATATATCCAGGTAGATGGGATAGATTACACTGAGACCTTTTCTCTAGTTGGTAAGATGACTTCGGTGAGAGTTCTTTTATCCTTTGCCGTGAGCTATGATTGGCCTTTGTATCAATTTGATGTAAAGAATGCATTCCTGAATGGTGATCTCACTGAAGAGGTATATATGCCCCTTCCTTAATGGTATATATGGCAAGGAAATGCAAGGTTAAGGTGTGTAGATTGAAGAAATCACTTTATGGCCTGGAACAATCTCCACGTGCTTGGTTTGATAGGTTTAGGGCTGCTTTTGTTTAGTTTGGCTACACTCAGACGCAATCAGCTCATACCCTTTTTGTTAAGAGAAAAGGCACTCTGGTGACATTCTTTATAGTTTATGTAGATGATATTGTGGTTATTGGTAGTGATACAGAAGAAGTTAGTGCTCTCAAGAAGTTTCTCAATTCTGAATTTGAAATTAAAGATTTAGGGGAGTTGTGGTATTTTCTGGGCATTGAGGTTGCTAGGTCCAAGGAAGGTATCTTTATTTCTCAACGGTGCTAAACCTGCCTCTACCTCTATTGATGTGAATTATAAACTCTCGGCTAATGATGGAGAGCTTTTAGTTGACAAGAGAGTGTTTCAGAGATTACTGGGGAAACTTCTTTATCTATGTATGACTCATCTAGACATTTCATATGTTGTGAGTGTCATAAGCCAATTCATGCATGCTCCCAGAAACACATATGGCTGTTGTAGAAAGGGTGTTATGCTACCTTGAGGGAACCCCCAGGAAGGGTAAATTATTTGCTGAGCATGGACACATGAAGGTAGAAGTATATGGAGATGCTGATTGGGCAGGAAATGTGTATTGTGATAACCAAGTTGCTATTAACATTGCTCACAACCTAGCTTAGCATGATAGAACTAGGCACATTGAGGTAGACAGACACTTTATACGGGAGAGAGTGGCTTCAAGAGAGGTGTGCCTACCTTTCATTGCATCAGAAGAGCAGCTAGCAGATTTTCTAACTAAGGGAGTCCCAAAGGCAAAGCTTCAACATTATGTAAGCAAGCTGGGCATGATTGGCATCTATGCTCAGCTTGAGGAGCGTAGTGAGAATGGGGGCCCTAGTGTTCTTTATTTCTTTTAAGTAGTTCTTAGTTATGGGTCTTCTCTTTTATTTTCTTTAATATCTCTTTAGTGCTGGCCGCCCCATTAAGGGCATCCAAGTAATTGTACCCAGACTTAGAATTATTAATAAAAGTTATGAAAGGGGGCTAGAGAGAGAGGTTCGAATTCTTCTTTTCTTCTTCCACAACCTATTCTTGAAACTTCTTTTCTTCTTCTTTCTCTTTCTCTCTGTTCTTCTTTTCTTGCAATATCTGAATTATTGTAGGTGTAATTTTCAACCATATACATCATTTTCTTTAGTGTGATACAAACCTTTTAGAGTTGATCTGCCTGCTTTATGGTTCCATCCTTTTCTCAAAAAATTCTTTGATTACAGGGTGGGTACTGGAGTACCATGAAAGTAGACCAGGATTGAAGATATTACAACAAGGAATTGATGAGTTCATAACTTCCTATGAAGCGCAAGAGGAACAGGTAACTTTCATCTCATCACTTGTATTTTTGCTTGAGATCCAATTTACCGGCATTGGGGTTGTCTGAAAATAAACATGCATATATGCGATTTTTGTACATATCCAACCATTTGAAATGAAGTTCAAATGGTTAGCACAACAGATAACTTTGATTATACAATGGGTGGGGATGGAGGCTAATGCTGGTTGATTCTTTAGCTAAGCAAGGGGTAATTAGGGATCAGTTGTATTGGGCTCAATTGTAATTCTTGTGCTGTATTTTCTTTAAGAGTGAGGCTGCACCTCGCGCGTCCTCAGAGAAGCTTGTAACAGTTGCTTATCCTTGGTGATTTTAATTAAATCTTAATGAATTTTTACTTATAAAAAAACCTATTCTGGTGGTTGTGTTGAGCAGCCATTACGTTTTACCATCTTGGGACATAAAGCAGACACAAGAATCAGAGGATATACCTTGAATGCCTATATATATATGCATGCTATGCTAGGAACATATGCAGTTTGGGTTATGTTGTTTACATTGCATATGACTCACCACCATTGAAAGCATGTTGTGCCCATTGCTTAGATTTTTCAAGGACATAAACTCATTTGTGATTGACTGGGCCATGGTGCACAAAGAATTCAAGCGTATGGATTGGAATTTGATTCAACTTGAGAGTTATTAAGAGACACAGCAGCCATTGTTACTTTTTTGGCCCTTTGCTTTCCTCATTAGATTGCAATTTGTTGATGTATTTTTGGGCCCTTTAAGGAGGCTTTCTTGCCCTCCTCTTTCTAGGTTACATACTCCTTGTTATATTAAAGAGATACTGTTATATATAAAAAAGAAAATATATAACTGTGAATTCATACATGAGTATTAATGGAGTTAACCTTGAATGATATGGAGGACTGTGTTCAGGTGATGGGTTGCATGGTTTCAGAATGGCAACTCGGGGGGGGGG